TTCTGAGCTGGTGAAATTTAGGTCTGCTTTTGTTGAATTTTTGATGCAAAGTGTCAATGTGAAAAAAACCCGCTAGCTAAGATCTAAATGGCTAGTGTGAGTATATTCTAGTTTGAACATATATTTCGCATTTCACACCAAACAAATAGGCGCGTTTTAACAAAGTGTGATAAAGGTGCGGTTTCCGTCTTGTGTCTTCAGAGCACTTATTAGATAAATGCACCTCTCCTACTAATATCACAAAGTTGAATGAGAGTAACCAATTTAAATTACTGTACAAAATGTAAATTTGTTGAGCAACCACAATTGTTCGGTTTGTTGCTTTTTTAGTTAGAATGCAATGCTTTATGTGATTATATAAACTATATATAGAAAATATGTAACAAGTCACAGACACTAGACATAAAGCAGTTCATTATTATGTGATTTACAAAAAATCAAGATAACGATTGGTTAGAACATTTTAAAATCTCAGACTAACGTTTTTAATAATCAAGAAAATCATTAAACTCGTCGGATATATTAAAGCTCCCTAAATAGAATAAAAAAATTATGATCTGAGAAATTAGGGAAAAAAAATCCAACTCTTCAATTGTATTGTGGCAGGTTGGTTAACGCATGGTGTAAAAATAGGGAAATCTGTTACTAAGCTGAATATTTCACAGTTTGTTTTCCTTTTTTCGATCTTTTAAAATTATTTTAATGATATTTTGAAATTAAATCGCACAAATAACCTTGCAAATAATAAACCAAAAGCTTCTATCGACGTGCAAAGAAGTAAACCCAAGAGTAAACCACATTATCCCAATCCAACTTTTTTTTTCTTCATCTTTCATGATGAGATATAAACAATATTTTTGCACACTTAGATTTTTTGCCAAAATATTCGGAGGCGAACCAGCCTAAGGCTGAAAGCCTCCTAAATAAAGCTAAATTAATTAATTAATTTTTGCCAAAATGGGCCGAGCAGCTCGGCATTTTATTTTGCTGGATATCATTTATGTTTGTTAGCTGAATCTCGGCAAGTTTTTCACTGAGATCCAGTAATATAAAAAGCCGAGCTGCTCGGCCCATTTTTGCAAAAAATCTAAGTGTGCAAAAATATTGTTTATATCTCATCATGAAAGATGAAAAAAAAAAGTTGGATTGGGATAGTGTGGTTTACTCTAAGTGCGTGTATGTAATTTTTTTTCAGGAATCTATCTAATCCTTATAAGGAAAAACTGATTCGCTTGGATTTCCAATATAAAAAAAATCAAAATGTGTCAGAAAAAAACAGTTTTTGGTGAAGTAAATTTGTCCATATGCGAAACGTACTGCCAAAAAATAAAATAAAATAAAATAAAAACAAAAAAATTTGCCGAATGTGGGCATATTAGTGGAATTCCTGTATAAAGAAAAAGAGAACCATAATAAACGGGTACCATACTTTACCGATATCATAAATAGTACGACCATACCAAATAAACTAGGGATGATATCCCGAATTGGTGTTTAGGCGCTTTTTATGGTTATTGTTTATGCGGGAAGGATTAGTAATTTTCATTTAATTCCACTACCTTATTTGCTTATCCTTGACAGATACGCGTATTTTGTCTACAATGTGCAGACTTCTGTCAAGGATAAGCAAATAAGATAGTGGTTTTAAATTGACATTACTAATCCTTCTATCTTTCTTAATAAAAATACACCGTACTGCGTAAACAATCAATCTTCCAGCACGAGAAAAGTACGCGAGACGAGCTCACGAGAAAATGCACACGAGCTGTTTCATGTACACGCAGCCCATGCTCCCCGCTCGACCCGGCAAGAGACGAGACATCGCTATGCACGTCGCAACAGAAACTCGCATGTATTGATACAAGGCTCGCTCATTTCCCTTGTGCCTCGTTCGTTTACTTCACACAGCTCACCATAACTGAGAGGGGTACGAAATTAGGTAGCGCAAAGCACACTGTCTCTTCTCTGTGCTCACGAGATTTCAGGAAGCAAAAAAGAAACAAAATTATCGTACCGTCTGCGCCAATTGTAGGGTCCAGAGTCCTGGTGTTGCAGTCCACTTGCTTGCGTTCGCCTTGCCGGATTGCCGGTTACTTCACGAATCCTCTTTAATCACACGGCGAATGAGAACGACTCAAATTTGAGTTTAGTTCACTCATAATCGTCAAAAGTGCAGGAACTCAGCGATGAGTAATTTTGCCTCATGTTTTCCCAAGTTTTTCCAGGGAAAAAATCCCGAATTTGAGAAAAGTAAAGATTGGATTCACTCAGTCTATTGGTACTACTCCGAGACTGAATAAAATTTTCGTCAATTTCCTCATTTTCCGGCAGATTTTTTAGGTTTTCCACAGGAAACCATGAGACAAATTTAACTCATCGCTGCGTTCCTGCACTTTTGGCGATTATGAGTGATCTAAACTCAAATTTGAGTCGTTCTCATTCGCCGTGCACGACTTTTCGCTCAACCACGCCCGTGCGTCTATCGTTCACCATTACCATAATAATATCAAGGTCCAGGGACGTATTCAGTACACCAACATATAAACCCAACTCTACACTTCCGAGTCAAAAAAACTGACGAGACTCCAACGGTGTGATGAAATAGAACATATAAACAAATGAACGAAACACGTTTCACGAATAAAAACACTATTTATATTCAATAAAACGTTTGAAAGTATCGAACAGAAAACAGTAAACGATTGTCAACAAACAATTTTCACACCCTCATGTTTACTGTATTTCTGTTAGTCACAATGTTTACTGTATTTCTGTTCTCAAATTTTTGATCAATTGATCATTTTGTCAAGCTTCTGCATTCATGTTCCATCAGATATCACAGCTGTTGTTTGCGGTGACATCTATTGGAAACTACTCACAATCTGTTTTCCTATAAGTGTTCACAGAGGACACTGCAGTGCAAAACATGTCTGGTACCTCTATATATGCATTTAGATTATTATTCGAAGTCCCTCCTTTTTTACACATTCTGTACACAAAATAGCTCACCCCTCACAGAATTTCCCGCCGAATTTTATGTATGGGGCGGAGCATAAAGTATCTTTTGCACAGAATATTTAAAAAAGGAGGGATTTCAAATGTTAAAGTAAATGGTACCAGACATCTTTTGTAGTGGCAGGTACCAAAGATATCTAATCAACAAGATATCCCACTAATCAATTCCTCATACAAGCCATATAATTACCACCCGTATGTGATCGCAGTGCCATCTGTTGAGTGTACATTGAAACTGTTGGGAGTCAATGCGGACGTTGATGATCAGCCGAGGAAAGAGGACGATATCATTCTCGAAGTCATCATCATTATTTTGCGATAGCAAGATTTTTACTTGTTTGTGATTGTTCCGATTTTCAATCATTACCACTTTATATGCAACAGAAACACTTGAGAAAACAATCACACATCCAAGCGTGCATCATGATGTGCTTGTAATATGTTTTGCTTTCGAGCGAAAGAGTTTCCAATATACCACCGGTATCAGTAAGATGCAAATCTCTAATAGTAATTGATGATTTGCGGAGCTGGAGCATAGAAGTAAACATGGGAAAATCATTTACTCGTTCTAAAGAACTATTCCAACACCCCAGTCACTGGAAATGCAACGTATCGAAATCATTGCTAAACGTAATAAAATATGCCGTCTTCTTTGGCCAACGCAGCACACATTCTATTCAAAAATTACATTGGAATAATCATTAGTTTCCTATTTTATAACATAGGAAGTGAAAGCAAACGCAAACGGAAGTAGAAGAAGCTGAATGAAGACGATGAATGATGACACCGCTTCGTGTTTTGATTTGCGCTGTACCGTCCACTCAGTTGTGTGGGTTTGTTCGTACATGTATAGATGTTGGTGTGCGTGTTTTCATCCAACGCTGCAGTTCAGCGTTGTCTCGTCACAAACCGTTTGGCGCTGTTATCTGTCTCTAAAAAAATCCAAAGAGTGAAGGGGGTCTGCAGGTACTCTAGTTTGTAATCTGTGAACGGGAAATCACAAATCGAGCGTCAACAAAATACATGGCATGTTGAGTGATTGAGGTTGTGAGAGCAAATTTTCTCTCTCAAATTTGAATTTTTTGGCTCTCTGGGAAATGGTAGTAAAGCAGGGTAAATTAATTTTTAATTAATTGTAGCTTATTTAACAATAATTTCCGGGGAAAAACTGAACTACAAAGTCCCTGATTAACTTCTTTAGGTTGTCGTTCACTTTTTTTCACCTGAATATGCACCGAAAGCGAATTATTCCCACTTCTCTCAATTTCTATATGGGGATTTTTATCACTTCCTACCAGAGGAACAGCGCCATCTCTGTGGAAAATGGTCGAACAAAATGATTAATTCTCGTAAGCATATTTTTTCGTAAGTCTAGGTACTCAAACAAAAAATAACAAATCTCAAAATACTTTAAAAGCCTCAGTCTCTAAAACTTAATTTTTTAAACCTCCGAATCTTGAAAACAATAATGTGCATAAATTGTCTTAATCCGAGATCCGAGAATAATTCTACATAGATTTATTTTTTAACAATTTCAAATGTTGTTTCCAAGTTCATCCTCTCACTATAAAAAAATAGGCCTAGTGACCAAATCAACACCCAAATGGTCTCCATTGTTAATGATTTTTAACTTTAATTTAAAATTGTGAATTGTGAATCTCTTGTTACCGAATTAGAGGAGGGAAGGCATTCAACCTCATGGACAACGAAGGTATGTGGAAGTTATTTTTTAAAAGCCGGTGCGGAACAAATCGTTGCTCCATTTGGAGTGGAATTCCCATTCACTAGAAGCAGCAGTGTGTGCATCATCCGCGGAGCTCGTCATAGCGATAACCTTTTCTTGGGGGGGGGGGGGAATTCAATTAGCCTGTTTGATTTCACCCGTCTCCATAACAAAGCATAACATAACAAGCTATAGCAAGTCCTCCGGAATGATACGATAATTTAACTACCAATCCACGCAGCGGTAATCAATTTCAACTTACGTATTTGGAATGTTCCGCATGGCTCGGTGCCGCAAGAAGATTATCACCAACGTTCCGTTCCCTAGGATTCCCACGATGAAGATGATGGCAAACACCACCGGGACCACGTAGGTCTCCAACCGCTCCTCGTACGGTTCGTAATCGTCCACGTGGTCAATGGACACATCGAAGGGCAGCGTGGTCTCGGTTGATTCCAGCATGCGAACGGATTTCTGTATTCGATTTGTTCCGAAAATGTCCTCCACCGTCGACGACACCGGGAAGCCCAGAATCTGCTCAAAGTCCACCGTAACCGATTCCGTTCCGCTTCCGTTGTTTAGCAGGCGCCGCAGCTCCATCGTTGGAACCGACGCGTCTGAAAATTTAAAGGAGAAGTAAAGTGGTTACAAAGTATTCCTTCCTGTTGATTGGAGTCAAGGGATTCGTTGGCACGTATCCAGGTCATTTGGCAAATTGTTTACTACCTTCGGGTGAAACGTGTGTATCCAGTTTACTCACACTCACACGAAACTTGGCATCGCTGAAAGAGAATTTTTCAATTTGTCAAACTGGGAAGCAATTCCACCAGGGGCACAAAGTGAAGCTGAATTTGAGTTATAACGGCAGCTGTCGGCATTTATGACGTGGATCGATTTGCTTTCAATTATTTTGAAAACTTTTAGCCTTCCACCAAAGCACAACTTATTTGGCTTTTAAAAGTGCTTTATCTACCAGTTAGCCAAGCGATAACTTAACCTCTGTCGACTTCCGTTGAGCAACTCATTACTCACGGTTCGTTAATTTGCATAAATTGAAGCTAAGCAGAGTCGAAAGGAAGCATCTCGAATTTCACGCTTAATTTGAATTTGGTTTTCCACGCAAAATTCCGCTCTCACACCACAACGGAAAAAAAATCTCCAGCACCGCCTGAATAGCGGCAAAGAAATTTCTATCGTCCTGAAGGGCCTCGCACAATGGATCCGTTTGCGTTGCATTGACGTACATTTGACAGATAACTCATGGGTTAACTATCAAATTTCCGCAAACGTAGGCGGACCCATTGTGGTGGCCCTTGACTGCCGATGTTTACGCTTGTGAAATATGGAAATGATGTCGTCGTCAAACATATGGAATTTGCGGCTGCACACCCCAGATATGATTTGCGCTCATCCTTGCTACACTCAAATATGTGACATCTGACACTGACAGCGGACCGCCTGCACTCTATCATCCGATCATTACCGTGATTAAATGCTTTTATAAGTTGGGAAAAAGTAAACGTGAAAAGTTTTCATCGCTCCTTGCGTCATCGTCAAAATGGAAAAGTCTCAATTAGTTGTCCTTGAATTTGATTGAGGATCCTTGGGTAAAGGGTAGAGCACAACTCAAAGAGTTCAATGGAAGTACAACCTCCTACGTGGTAGCGTGGAAATGGACAGAATGGTTTCTACCCTCGGTATAGAAAAAACGATCTAAATGATAATGAATTTGAGTTGATGTGATTCCATTTCCATGCTAAAATAAGATCAATATTGTTTCATCTCTAAGTGCATTCTTCTGATGGATATCTGCCAGTTGTATTGGGATAATCTGTGTACATATCAGCGATATTAGGGTACATCTATCGTACAAAAATAACCTATGTATTATCGAAAACTATTCATAACTGATCTTTTTCATGAAGCTGAGGGAACTGAATATAAAATAGATTCGAAATTGCATACTTTCAAGACCACTCACAGTGAGGGCTGGTAGCAATAAATGCTGTCAAAATAGTGATTTTAGTGACCATGTTGAAGAAATAAGTGATCAAATAGTGACCTATAGTTGCAAAAAAGTGGCTGAAAAGTGACCTAAGGGAAGAAAATTAGTCGTTCTGATGGCATCCCAAATAAATGTTTGATATTTTAGACTTATTCAATTAGAATCTCATAAACACTTAAATATTTACGATCGGAACCTTTAAAGGGAAAGATTCAATAGAAAGTGGCTATGCCTCCAAGTATCTACTATCTGGAAAAACATGAAAAACCGGGAATTCTCCAAAACCAAATGCATTTTAAAATAAAAACATTTCATATTCCTAATTATTATCATTCACACATTGAACTTTACAGATTAAGAATGGATTGATATCCAGTATCAAAAACATTTTAAAATTTCAGGGGCTTCGAATGATTTTTTTAAATATGCATATTTCCCACATAATGTAAAAAGTCAAATTCCTAGCACAGTACAGTTTTTAAGGCTCTTGGGATTTTTTATAATTTTTAAGGACCTCATTCCACGGGAGTTCTGAGAACCGCATGGTTGACGTAGACTACATTATGCTGTGTGTGAAATTCTCGTGCATTTTTCTAGATATTGATTTAAAATACAGTAGAATTAACTTATGAGTTCGGTAGGACGTAATTTAAAGATGGACCCTAATTTTAATTCCAAGCTGTGTCCCAATGGACGAGTTAAATTCAACTCGTGGTTAAAAGTGACAGATGAGTTATCGAATAACCCTGCTATACGAGCGTGGTTATTTCGGACCGACAAGAAGTTACATTTTGGTAACCGTAGCTGAGTTCTGTTTGAAAACTGATCAATTTCCGGCATTTTCGAACATTGAAAATAACTTTCGAAATGTCACGTTTAACCACGAGTTAAATTTAACTCGGCAATTGGTACACAGCCCAAGAACAATTTCTCGATTACTTTTTCGAAGGAACGTATCAGCTTTTGTAAGAATGTTGATCGTCGATTTGGCGTAACTGGTAGCACACCCACGCATGCCAACACTACCATCAGATAGAGGAAATTTTCCCCTATCTGATATAGTGGTGTTCCTTTCGAAAAAGTAATCGAGATGTGTAGTTATCATTTAGGCAAGGAGCGCTTAAATATTATTGTATATATTATTGAATTTTCAATTATTCAAGCGGGTAACCGACATCCCTTCTTATTTCTACTCGTTTGATTTACCTTTACTGCGCTAACATAAATAAAAGTACCAGTGTGATGTGATGTGAATAGAACCCACCATCAGTGCAAGGATTACCTATGACTGCAGATACTTCACTGGTTGTAAAGTTCTGCCTGATGGTTTGTTGCAGCAGGGTGAATCAACTTCATTGAAGACCTTTGGAAGACAAACGACAAGATGTACGTCTATCAACACGTGACAAGGGACTGGCAAATCCACGAACCCTTGACCAGTCTACAAACCCTTTGAAACCCTTAGGCTGCCCCCCCCCCCCCTAAACCCAGCATATAATAATGTTTGATAAATGAAATGTATTCAAAAAAGGGATATTTAGAGAGAACAGTCTTCAACTGGAACGTACTCACCAAATCAATATATCCGGGAGCGCATTCTCGGTGCTTAATTTTCTCTAGTCATTTTTAAACAATTCCTCATCCAGCGAATCCAACCACACAATAACTAAATAACACTTTTCTTCTTCATGTCACTCTGTGCACAAAAGCAATGCACACCGCAAAAACCTAATAATAGATCAGCGCGGTCGAGTCACACCGTCAACAAAGGGAGCGAGAGCACTCCAGGCACCAAAGCAACAGGGGAAAAACATCAGCACAAATCATTCTAAATCGAGTTATCGCGTCCGGGACACAAAACTATTCAAATGCGAGCACCGAAAAACTACACGGCAGCACAAAGATAGCCCGAGCTCTAAAAAAAAAGCACGCAGCGGAGCAAAAACACACAATCGTTCTCGGACGCTTCTCAAAGCGGACTGACATAAATAAAAGTACCAGTGTTGGCAAAATCATCAATCAATCGAAATTTTTCCACTCTCATACGCTCTCAATATCACGTGTGATATTGGAACAAAATATCATGCTTGATATTGATTTTACAAGCTCCTTTGATATTGCGAGACTATTCACAACGTGCAAAAATCAAGCTGACACAAAAATGATTCCGTTGCACATCGTTTTCTTAGAAAGAGAAAGTATAGTTTGCTATCTCTTTTTACTGTTCACCGATGGCAGACACGAAGTGACTGCTGCCAGCCGATATTGAAGTTTCCGCTGCGTTCGGGTGTAAAGCAAAAATCATGAAACCCAATCTCACCACAGTTTGGTGAAATTTGCAGCTGGTGAGTTTTGATAGCTTGATATTCCAAGCTGCAATATCACAGCTTACAAAATCAACCACGGTTGTTTGATTTTTGATTTAAGTCTACGAAAATCAAGCGTGATCTTGGGCATTGGTGATATTTGATTTTTTGATATTTTTCAACACTGAAGAGTATTAATTTATCTGAACAAACGTGAAAAAGAATCATACATTCGCCGAAAAAAGTGTTAAGCGTCTTTTTGCTAAAGGCTAAGATTTACCAACTTGTTGAGAGAAGGAGTTTAACGGGAAAAACTAAAAAGGGGAGGAGCTTTAGCTGGGTGGAAACTGATATTTTACCGGCTGTTTCTATACAACGCATAATTTAGTGTAGAAATGCACAGCAGATGAACAATTATTTTTCCATGTCCGATTGACAAGCGACAAAATCGTTAAAAGAGGAGGAACTTTAGCTGATATGCCCTTAATTGTTGCTTTCGTCCATACAGTAGCTGACCGAAGCTCCTGCTGCAGGGCTTTGAAAACATGACACCGCTATCGGACTGAACGGGTCATTAGACCAAATTGTAAATAGTTAAAGATTGAATTAAGAAATTGTTTTAGAAATCTCGAATTTGATTACAAATGAGATCTAGGGATAATTATTGGACACCTCAAAGCAAGAACTTCGGAAGGACTTTCCTGAACTTCGACAGGACTTCTCTGAACTTTGGCTGGACTTCCCTGAAATTCGACAGAACTTTCGGTAGGACTTCATTGACCTTCGTCAGGACTTTCCTGAGGTTCGGTAAGTCTTTCCTGAACATCGGCAGGAGTTCCCTGATCTTCATCGGGACTTCCCTGAGGTTTGGCAGGCCTTCTCTGAACTTTGGTAAGCTTTCCCTGATTTCCAAGAATTGAAATGGCAGGACTTCCCTGAACTTCCCTGAAATACGGCAGGACTTTCGTGAACTACGGCAGGACTTTCCCGAAGTTTGGCAGGCGTTCCCTGAATATTGGTAGGACTTGCCTGAAGCTCGGCAAAACTACTGTGAACTTCGGCAGAACTTCCCTGAACTTCGGAAAAAATTCCCTGGACTTCGTCAGGACTTCCCTGAACTTCGACAACTTCTTTGAACTTCAGTAGGACTTCCCTGAAGTTCAGTAAGACTTTCCTGAACTTCAGCAATGTTTCCCTGAAGGTCAACAGGACTTCCCTGAACATCTGCAAGCCTTCACTGAACTTTGGAAGGACTTTCCTGAACTTCTTCATGACTTCCCTGAACTTTGGCAATACTTCTCTGAAA